GGATGTATGGAGTTAAAGATCCCACCAGACTCAATATTAGTCTCTTGCCTTATCCAACAACTCAATATTATTCCTTGCCTTAGACCAGACAACTTAATGTCCACTTAGAGAGAAAGATACTTATATAGTTCGGGGATTAATTTGAGTTCTTAAAAATAAGTTTCAGTTAACATTAGGTATAAGATCTTGCTTTATAGTTTATTTTAATTTTAAAAAGTGCCTTTTTAATTTTTTTTTTTGTTATTTAATAAATTTTTAAATTGTATATGTATTGTAGGTCATATTTATTATATCAGATGGGATAAGTATCCTATTGGATCTGAAATAAATTCTGATTTTATATCGGAGTTTTCTTATTTTTTAAAAGAAGTGGGTGAGGGTGATTACACAAATCAATTTTCCACTGATCAAATATTCCCAACACGCGCCGATTTAATTGAATGGGTTCGAAAGATTGCATTTGATCTTGGATTGTTGTTGTATTAAAGATCGACACAGCAACTGGTGAAGGGTAGAAAAGCATGTATTTTGTTAGGCTGTGAAAGAAGCGGGAAGTATAGGAAGTATAAGCCAGATGGTCAACATAGTGTCTCTGGTACGAGAAAATATGAGTGTCCGTTTGGTTGAGGGGTAAACCTAAAGGAGATGGTTGGGTGTTAAAGGTATGTGCGCTACACAACCATGAATTAGCAGAGACTTTGGTAGGTCATCCTTTCGCGGGTAGGTTAAAGCTGATGAACAATCAATCTGTTGGACAGACTAGAGTCAAGTAAAGCCGTCAAATATTCTTTTGACTTTGAAAGAACATATGAAGATAACGGTGACCACGTTAAGGAAATATATAATGTGAGGTACCGTACAAAACGATCTTTGAGAGGGTTCTAGAACTGAAAGCAAGCAGTTGATGGTGTTGTTGATAGAGGACAAATACATCCAGAGAAGTAGATGATTTGGACGAATTTAAACGTGGTAAGTGACGTGTTTTGAGGATACATCCCGATCAGTGCACTGTAGTCATTCTTTTAATAGGTTTTCTAATAATGGATCGAATATAAGACGAACAAATATACGACTTCGTGCTGGAGATTGTGGGAGTCACATTCAAACTGGTTTGACATCACAGCCGCCTCTTGCATGGGGACTTTCAAGTGAACGCCAAACGTTACTTTCACTTGGGCATTGGAAAGGTTCAAAGGATTATTATTGACATCAGAGGGCAGTCCACGCGTGTATTATCACTGACAGAGACCTTGCTTTGATAAATGTAATTAATAATGTCTTTCGGAAACTTATCAGAGTGCTATGTACATTTCACATTGCGAAAATGTTAGAGCGAAATGCAATGTTAGTGGATAAGGTGAGTCAGTGGTGTGTTGATGGAAGTGTGGTAGAATGTTCCATGGATTGTGGCGACAGTCCATGTTAGTCTTATGTTAATCGTACTTGAGTATGTCTCTTCTGCATGGCCTCTATTGTTATTATGTTCAACCGCACTTGATAATTCCGTATCCAAGAATCCTTTGTCAATGGTGTTGGGACAAAAGTTAGGCAATCTAGGCAACACTACAAACAAACAGGAATTTTTATTTTCATCGGCTTACCATGATAAAGCTGAGCCACTCTAGTTTCAACCAATCTATTAACCATAGATATATTAATTATCTTATATACACAAAAGGATATAATGATATAATAAAAATATGTCAAAACAAAAATGAAGTGAATCAAAGAAGAAAAATTTCAAAAAAATACAGATATATAGTACAATGAATTGACAAAGAAATGCAAAAATGATGAACAAAATTGGACAGAGGATGAATGATATTGGAATCAAAAAAATTAGATAGATTGATTGGGCAATTGGGCAAAAGGAAAAAAGATAAAGAAAACAGAAGATAAAATGAAAACAATAAATAGAAGATTACGAAGGAATATAAATGTTAAATAACAAATGCAACAAAATAACAAAAAAGAAAAAGAAATGGAAAAAGAGTAAGAAAACAGGGGAGGAGCAACAGAACAAAAAAAATGAAAGGGAGGAGACGAACCTAAAAAATAAATAGATAGTAACCGTAATAAAAAATAACCAATAAAATAATATAGACTAACCTAATAAAAAAATGATTAAAAACATAAGACAAACCAAACGCTATTCAAAAGCCACGAAGAGGTAAAGAAGCTGATGGATGTGCGGTTAGTGTGAGCGCCTGGGAAACCCTCCGCATATCGATATGCGGTTTCCCTACTTTCCGCACTTCCAACTGCGGAAGTCTGTGACCACTGGCGTTTAAGCAGCTGCTCTCCGGCGAAACCAACACCCAACGAACTCAAAAAGCACATGCATATATTTGTATGAGAGCAAATACCTACATTTTATCAAGATACTAACCTGGACGCCAGAAAGCACCTGAGATTTGTGAGAAATCAGCACGGAGGAGAAACGCAAACAGTTTGGCACAGGAGGGAGGAGAAAAGAGAGGCAGATGAGACTGGAAAAGGAACAATGGGAGAGGAGGGAGGGACGAGGGCGATGAGTGATTTAGAAGGGGGCTGTAGGGGTTTGAGGGTGAGATGCGACAGAGTTAAGTTTCAAAATTAGTGCAACCTTTTAAAAATTCAAAATATTCTTGTTGACTGTATGAAGGAATATACTTAAGAATTAAAATATATTTAGAGGTGCATGACGAAGACAGTAAGGTGCAAGAAATGTTCTTATTAAAAAAGATGAGTTATTTTGTCTTTTCACTTTGATTCTACCGACAACTTCCTCCTGACATGCTTGTCCTAAGAAAAAAGACAACAAACTTGCATGTCCTGAAAAACACAATTTTTATTCATAAATAATAAATTTAGTGACGTGAAAAAAATGAAATGTTTTTTTTTTTTAGTGATTTGGTTACACAATCAATGTTGGTCATGATAACACATCATTACTTATCCAAACGATAGAAACTAATAAAAAATATATCAGAGTGTAGCAACATTTTTTAAAGTAGTAAACGAAAAAAGAAAGTAATAGTAATATATCAGACATATATATATATATATATATATATATATATATATATATGTGTGTGTGTTTATTTGTTTATTTTGTATTAAAATAATGTTTACAAAAGGCATAAGTTTTATGAGCCAAATTTTTATGATATTTTTAATCAATAACAGTTAAACCATTCAATTTTTCGTTTATAAGTATAATTTTATGTTTTAAAACATTAATTCTAATACTTTTTTCAAGTTTTAGTTTTAGATCATATGATATTTTTAAATAAAACAATGGAAGAGGCGTTACTTTATTAAAAATATAAAAAAAAATATAGATGTCAATTTATTAAAAATATAAAAGTAAAAGTTTTATTTTAAAATAAAAAAATTGTAAATTTCATTTAACATAAGGTAATTGCAATTTTCCATTAGATTGTATTGCATTTTGGTGATTATCACTTCAATATTTAACATTCTCTTTCAATAACATATTAAGGACTCAGTTCAATATTTTAAGGTGTAAGTGTTAGAATTTATGTGCCTCTTCAATAGTTTTTAAATCATAATGACAGTATTAAGGACTCAATTACAGTATTTCAAGTTGTAAGTAAATAATTTTTTTAATAATTACAACAATCAACACGTGCATATTACTACATCATTGAGATTTTCATGTGACAAAATCATGAAAGGGAAGAGGTACAAAAATAAGATCTCATAAAATTTGATTTACTATAACGATTACATATCCACAAAATAACTTTCCATGACAACTATATCAGTAGAAACTCGAATTAAGAAAACAAAATTTGAAACTTCAATAATACTAAATAAAGGAAGAGAATCTATCTTGAAGTTATTTTCCATGACACTTCCATTCAACTTAATACAAATAGAGTGTAGAAAAAAGCAAATATTATAACCACTATCTATCTAGTTTTGCGTGATTTAGCCAACTTTTTCTTTCTCTTTTTAACAGCCTTAGGAACTTTAGTTTTACGTGCTTCTCTTTTCTCCTCCTTCACCTTCTTCTTATTATCTTTTCTAGCCTCTTTTTTAGCAGCTTTTTTATCTGCAGGATCCATTGTTTCACTTTCTGAGGATGAATCCTCTTCAGAATCACTTTCGTCATCTTGGTCATCGTCAGATTGAACATCAGCATCATCCTCCAAGTTGTTAGATTTATCATCAGAAATGATAGGTGAATCTTTTATGGCACTTGATTTCTGCTGTTGGCCCTTTTGCTGTGAAGACTGAGTTAAAGACAAGGCATGCTTAAGGCCAGTAATGGTCTGGTAGTATAAATCTTTAGTGTCCTTCCCACTTGTTATCCGTTGTACATCCTCCTCAGCATTCTTAACATCATCAAGTGTCTTTGGAATGAAAGACTGTAACAATAGTTCAACAAATTAAACATGCAAGAAAGAACAGAAAAGATTAATGTGTTTGTAAAACTCAAGCTCACACATACTCTCGGGAAAGAAAATAAGAAAGGAAATGGAGGGTTAAATGAGAATAAGAATGAATTTTGTACTCAAGCTAAAAGCATAACGTTCTTAGATGTGGCTCACACATAAATTCAAATATGATATTTGAACAATAATAATATTTAGTTTCTTCACCCATGACCAGAGCTTCTTAGTTTTTCCATTAAGCTTAGCCAACAATTCAGATAAGGATAATAACTATAAAATGAAATTGACATAACAAGGCAAGTTACCTGCACAAATACAGAGTCTGCAATCTCATCCTCTACAGATACATCTCCTCTGGCCAAAATTTTTTGTTGCATCTGGAAATATTTCAAAAACCATTTAAGATCTCTTTGAAGTTGGTCAGTAATCATAAACCACAATATAACAAAGCCAAATACCTCTTCCAAGTAACTATCCACAGCATCATCAGCTATTGATGCATCAACAATAAAATCAAACAATTCTCTTATTGTCATGACCGCTACACCATGCTTTTTAAAGAAATCCTGCAGGTCAAGAAGGTACTTAACCACACTCTTTCCACGTCATCTCGCCTATTAATGAAGTCAACAAGGAATCTATAATTACATCTAACAATTGGAAGTACTTACAGATACATGAACACAATCTTCACGTAGAAAATCTAGGGCATGAGGATGTTCAGGATCGACAGCTTGAGAAACATCAATAATATACAAGTGACCCTGTCAAAAAAAGAACATGTGAATTGAGTATTGGCAGATTGACATTCAACCAATGAAATATATACTGGAGAAGGAATTGTTCACCTCATAATATAGTATATTATATTCACTCAGATCTCCATGTACCAATTTGCATTTCTGATACAGTGTCCGCATTGCAATAATAATCTGAAATAAGAAATACCCAAATGATTTCAACCCAAAGTTTTGGATTTATGGAATAGAAACTAGAAAAACGTGAATGATAATCACTAAATAAATAGAACAGACAAAATTGTGATTTCTAAAATTAATCTCAACCCCTAATAAAATGCACTCAAAAGAGTGTTTTAAAAAGTGTGTTGCAGGCATGTCTCATCTAGACAAGTAACCTCAGTAGAAACCGTATACTACAGCATCCCAGCATCATAATGTTTAAGACACTCGTTAAAAGGATTCTATGTACAAAACCATGCTAGCATCAGAAGAATACTGTAGTGATTGGACACACCTCAACATAGCCTTCCCGCAACTTGTCTAAAGATAAAGCAGCATCTTTAAGACGAGGGGCAGCCCAACCAGATTTTCCTTCAAAAAACAACAAAACCAGAGAATTTAAATAAAATTGTATTTGTATTTATTTTTTCTAACCTAAACTGTAGTCTGCATTAGAGTCTGATGATATATGCCGTAGCAAGAAATTGAAATTTCTATGATTGATAACAATAAAAATTTAGTGCTGAGGTAACTACAAGTAGTTATACCTTCAATACTAGTATAAAAAAACAAGTAAACTATGCATCACGCTTTTCATTCATTCTTCTTTTTTAAATTTTTTTATCAACGGTATACATTTATACACTGATATTCCATATATTCAATGATAGAATAATAGACAATTGAGCAACAGATCACATATAAACAACTAATCACATTGATCACAGTAACATCATATTATATTCTTGAAATTCAGAACAACAGTAATACCTATAAACTCCATAACTAGAACATGTAGTCGCAGAAGATATGCTGTAGGACACCTAATTCCTGCTGCCTTAAGCCTGCAATCCAATATAAACAGGGTAAAAGAAAGAAACAGTCCAAGTAAGCATGTAATCAAACTTTTGTTTCTCTTAATTGAGAACAACCAACAGAACAAACCCACAAGCACACAAAGAGGAGCCACTTGAACAGAAAAAGAAAAGGTAGTGCATGCTAAAATTGATGAACAAAACATTGCCTCTTCAGCGCACATTAAAACTTGATACCTTTAAGACAAATACATAGTTCACAAAAAGAATTTTCACCTAAATAAATGACTACACAAGTTCCTGGTAAGTACAAGCCATCATAGAATACATCTAAGGTCCATAGTACTTCAAATCATAACTTACAAAAAAGAGGGCTAAGTAACAATAACCACAATGACGTATTCATTCTCTCTTCAAGTATTCCTCCTTCCCTTGTTATATTAACAGTCTAATTTAGTACATTGTATTGTACTCCTTTTGACCTTGGATATAAGAAAAAAAAAAACTAATTCACACTGATTTAAAATGTCAGTAGCTTTGAATTATACTAAACTTATTTAAAAAATAACAATTGTTCCTAATTTACCCTTCCTTATAACTTGATATCAAGAATAAAAGAGAGTCATTGGAAGTAAACATTTCAATTAAATACAGGGGCCTTTTAGAGATAGTTTCGTTAAATAGAGTAGTTGAGATTTGCGTATACTCAGGCTGGAGGAAGTACTTTGATTTTTACAAGAATTTTAGAAGAAGTGAAAGAAGTAAGAACAAATGTGAACCTCATAAGATTCCTCATTTCTTTTTCTGCCCATTTTTGTACCATCTTCCTGGGATTATGCTTGCTGTATCCATTTCTAAACCGGAAGTCTCCTTGCACATATCTATCTCTATCCCTGATATCATAAGATCATAGAACACAGTTCATAAAATAAAATAACTTTGAATCAAGAAACTGTTTGAAGTAAATGTAGCAGAAGTATATTACAAGCTGCCTTTTTGCTGTGCATATGTAATGAATAAATTAAAAAAACATCCATCCAGAAAGTATCAATAATCCCTAGCCCAGAGCTTTTTATATTTCTTCAACAATATATTATATAGGTAAACAGAGAGAATAGACACAAGCAATACAAGTACACCTGAATACAAATCCTAGTTTTCTCCTTAAAAGAGAGAAAACAAAGGTATGATTACCTATATAGTTCTTTCTTAACATTTCAGCCTTCAAAACAATTGACAATAACAGAAGAAGCTGAAACAAGATAATATGTGATATACTTACTTAAATACCAAAATAGATGTTTTGTATACTTTTATTGCAACTTCTTGATCACCAGATTTAGTTGCATGATAAACATTTGCCTGTTAGAAAACAACAATGTAAGAAACAGAAATATGTTGGCTTAACATCACATAATCAATTATCCAAACCATGTTACCGTCTTAGAACCTAAACAGTAAGATTGAGAGAAAAAAAGGAAATAAAAGCTCCTGGCACATCACGTACTTCCTTGCCAGTTGAAATGCATCCATTGATATCATCAAAGACACCTCTGTTCATCATCTTGTATAAAACCATGCGCGTTCTTTGATCAATTGCCTGGAGGAAACTTTAGAGTTACTTGCATAATAATTGTAAAAAAGGAATCAACAAAATAACAAGGCTCAATTTAGGTGCCACATTTCATGAAATCACCATCACTCACCTGTTCAACAGTTGCCCGGTCTGCTTTATCTGTAGTTTTAGTCTTCCCAACGGCACTTTCTCTAACACTTCCACGAATTGCTGTCGTCACAGAGTTTGACATGCCAATATTCATCCTCCCTTCCCACTCCTGCACCACGAACCACCTAATTTAAAACTACAACCAAACAAGCATACCCCACAGAATTCCAAAAAACACCATTCACCACACAACTTTAAATTCAAACTAGTCCATATTAAAGGAACACAAAAGAGCCAATAAAACAGAAGTGAGAAGTCAAGTTCATGCACCATGCTCACAATTAGAAAAAAAAGATATTATCTTTAATAGATAACAAAATGTCCCCTGTAATGTTTCCAGTGGATAATCAAGAATAACACATTAACCGGCACGAAAACAGCTACAATGAAATAATCCCGTTAACCTGCTAAACACTGAAAATTTATCCCAAACTTCAAAAAACGAAATCAGAATTTCCCTATGCTAGTATCCTCCTTTGAGAACAATCATGTTAGCACATCTTCCAGCCAGTCAAGGTTCAGATTGTCAAACACTAAATGTTAGCACATCTTCCAGCCAGTCAAGGTTCAAACCTTGACTCACCACACTTAACAAGATAGCCCTTCTGATAAACCCAACCCTCGGTTAAGTAATTAGAATGGTTTGTGATCAGTCATGAAAAAAGAAGATAAAAATCCAAACTTCAACGAACAAACAAATAAAAAAGTTTAGAGCGAAGGGATACCCATTTAGCTATTGACAATTATGAATGAAAAGAAGTAAAAGGGTATCTAAGAAAACCTCCAAGGGTGAAGCTCGAATGTGGTGGGAGTACTTTTGGTTGCGATTGGCGAGAGGCTGAAGAGTTGAGGAATGGAGGTGGTGGCCACCGTGAGCATTGGGGCGCCACGAATTTAGGGAAAAGGATGAGCCTTCATCTTCCTCCTTCGAATACAAACAGTCCAACGCATCACCGATTTCGGAATCCGAATAACTGGAAACCTCTTCATCTTCTTCTTCTTCTTCGTAGTCAACTTCATGTTGTTGTTGTTGTTCTGTGTGAGTATTGAGGTTGTTTTCGATATTGTTTTCCATCAGTGAGTGTGTGAGGTTGCTAATCAAGCAAACGGCTTCCTCTGTGCCCGGAGCGGCCATTTGAGGTTTGGAAGTAGAATAACCTACGTACACTCTTTCAATGTGATTCAATATTTCTTTTTAGGATATTTAATATATATCATTGGATATTTCTTTTAGCTAGTATTTTAGGGCCTGGATTATATTTTTTTATATACTAAACTAATAATAAATATATTTTTAGATAAATTATCGTAGAACAAAATTTATACTGAAAAATATCATCAGATAACTAAAATATATTTTTTGTTTGGAGTAAACAATTTAAATTAAGATGTATAAGTATGTGTGTTATTTTTTTATGATAATAAAATTATTATTTTTTATTTTATTATAATTATAAAATTAAACGTAAATAATTTTTATAATTTTGTTATAAATAGTTTTTATTTATTTTGTTGGTAGTTTTATAATAAAAAAATGGTTAAATTTAAAAAAATAAAATATAAAAAATAATTAAATTTAAAGAAATGAGAATAAATTTAATGAAACAGTTATTTTAATTTAAAAAATATTTTTATTTAGATGATAAAATTAAAAAATAAATATGGATAGTAAATACCAAAGTTCTTTGTATGTAGATATGACGATACTTTTATCTATGATAGAAAATTTAAAATTAAATTATTTTAGTGTAAAAATAGAAAAGGATGATTGAAATTTATAACAGCCAACTGGAAAAAAAAGGTATGATATAGTGCAGAAAAAAGTAACCATGTAAATTAAAGGTGAGAAAACTAATAGATTAAATAAAAATTTATTTTATATTAGAATAGATTAAATAAAAATTTATTTTATATTAGAATAAATTAAATAAAAATTAATAATGTATTTTGAATAATTAAAAATTAACTAATTTGTTTTATCTATTTGATCTATTCATTGAGAATTTTTTACGGATGGATAATCCATTTATAAAATAATATATTTTAAATATTAAAAAATTGTAAAACATATTTTAATAATTTAATTTTGAAATTTTAAATAACAAATTTAAGGATAATTTGTTTATGAAAAAAAAAAGTTATTGGGTTAATTTTGCTAATATTGAGGAAGGAATGAAATCTATTTTTAAAATTATGAAAGGATAATTAACAATTAGATAAATGAAATTGATAAATCTATTTTTTTTATATTTTTATAATGAATAAATTTATTTCATAAATAAATTATGTCAATAATATTAATAAATGAATGAATTTAAACAAGTATAAATGTTGTTCTAGCATAAACTTAAATTTTAATGTTATTCATTTTCACTCCAAAATAAAGGATTGGTTTTGGATTTAAAATTTCTTCAAAGAGTTTTGAATTCTAGATAATTTGATCGGTCCAATCTTATTTCATGAGGAAAAATCTTACTCTAGACTACTTATTTTGCTCGATGAAAAATTATTCAGCCATCAAATTCAAGGATTTCCAATAGTAAATCTCGTTCGGAGAATGATAAGGTAATTTCTTATTTAATTTTGATCAGTGAATTATATTTCAGTCTACTAATACCCTCTTTAGATAATATGTTATAATTAAGATGCATAAAAAGTGTTTGATGGAATGCCTTACAAGATTAGGATTAATGATGTTTCAGAGTTTGAAAAACCACGCCCTTTAATGCTTTCCCTAAACATATGAATATCTCAATATGCTTTCTTCCAGCATAGTGTAAGTGTATATATAGAAAATTTCCTTTGTTCTTGCATTTGTCATGTATACCATCCTCAGAAACGTCATTATCCTGATGAAGCATCGTTCCCAAATGAAGTGAAAATGGGTAGAAAAAAATTGTGAAGCATATTAGATTGTGTTCCTTAAGTTATTATTACATAGTAGTGATATGATATGATATTACACGAGGAGAAAAACCTCCAATAAAGAATATCTTGTAGTGAACAACTCTTTGTTTAAATACATAAATAAACCTCTCAAATTAGCTTACAATAAACTAATTTGTGAAAAAATGTCAGAAAGTGGAATTTAACCAAACAAGAGTGAGCCAAGTGCCAACACTCTAACGATAGAACTTTCTATAGTATATCCCTGAAAGAAAGGGAGGAAGCAACTCATTTTTTCTATGCTTCATTCAGGATTTTTCTTCTGTTTCTTCCTGTTCAGCTTCCTCTGGCTTTGGTGGTTCTTCTTCTTCGGCTGGTTCAGGAGGCGGTGTGGCATTCTTCCTGTTTGCAGCAGCTTGGAGTACATGATGGTAGTTCCCTTTCTCCATGAAAAGCTGTTGGAAATGGTGCCTGCAGTAGAGAACACCGTCTAGGGAAGCATAGGAAGAATGTGTGAGGTGGCAACCTGCATGAGCACACCTAAAGCAAGTCTTGTGATAGCATTCCCCTTCCAGTGTCATCTATTCAGCAAAGCAACAATTTTTTAGCTAGTTCAGTTCAATCAAAATTCTAATCCAGGTGACGAGAAATAGTTTATAAACAAACTAAAGTGTGTCTAAGATATTAATCAAAATACAAATCATTTTGTGGATTTTTCAGCCAGGCAGACCAA